TGTATGGACTCAGCAGTCGGTGTGTGTACGGACTCAGCAGAGTCTGTGTGTGTGTATGGACTCAGCAGAGTCTGTGTGTGTGTATGGACTCAGCAGTCTGTGTGTGTGTATGGAATCAGCAGTCTGTGTGTGTACGGACTCAGCAGTCTGTGTGTGTACGGACTCAGCAGAGTCTCTGTGTGTGTATGGACTCAGCAGTCTGTTTGTGTTTGTGTATGGACTCAGCAGAGTGTGTGTGCGTGTGTATGGACTCAGCAGAGTGTGTGTGCGTGTGTATGGACTCAGCAGAGTCTGTGTGTGTGTGTGTATGGACTCAGCAATCTGTGTGTGTGTGTGTGTGTGTATGGACTCAGCAATCTGTGTGTGTGTGTATGGACTCAGCAGTGTGTGTGTGTGTGTATGGACTCAGCAGTCGATCAATAATTAAAATTCCTGTGAGTTGTTGTGTAGGAAAGGCCCCAGTGTATTGCTTTGCCCAGGGGCCCTTAACTCTGTTAAAATGGTACTGCTTGTGTGTGTCAGTGAGCGTCTATTTAGTGAGCATGTGTGTGTGTCAGTGAGCTTGTCTTTAGTGAGCTTGTGTGTGTGTCCCTGAACTTCTTTGTAGTGAGCCTTCTGTTTATACAAGTGAGTGTCTGTAGTAAGCTTGTGTGTGAGTCAGAGAGTTTTGTCTGTCAGTAAGCCTGTTTGCGCATGTCAGTGAGCTTGTGTGCTTACTGTACTATATATATATATATATATATATATATATATATATATATATTGACTTGTAGGAATGGTATACGTTTTTTTTCCAGGGCTGCTTTGGATTCCCAGGGATTCCCAGTTTGGCTCTGCCAGCGAGTGCACTTTACCGCTGAATAATCTGTGTGAGCTGCCGCACACTTTAGCCCTGTTACACGCGTCTGGGAGCTGCTGTTGACAGTTACTAGTAGTCTAGAGATTGGGGTATATGCTCAGCTATCTGTATAATACAGATCTGTGTGTATAAAATATCCCGGGATAGTCAGTGCTTCCTGTATAGTGAGTGTCCCAATTTATTATACACACAACCCTGTATTATACAGAGAGCACTGACTGTCCAGGGATATTATACCCAGACAGTAATTGATAGCTGTGCTGCAAAATGTCCTTGGAAATTTTTTTTCAAATGTTGGCAACTATGGCACTGTATCAAGGATAATGTGTTTGTTTTTTTAATAATCCCTGGTGAAAATCATGATTCCTCCACCAGGTATTATTAAAAAAACAAAACACATTGTGTCGGGGGCGTGGCTTAACATGTGACAGGGGCGCGGTCAAACTGCGGCGAGGGCGGGGTTAAATGTGCCCCCCTACTTTTGTCACTGGCCCTCCATGTGCCCCCCCGAAAAATTAATCCTAGAGACGCCACTGGAGGAGGAGGAGAGTCCCAAGCCCGGCGCTGGAGAAAGAGGTAAGTTTAACCCCTTCCACCCCCTAGAGCCCGGCGGGACGGGGGGCCTGAATGTGGGGGCACCCTCAGGGCACTATAGTGCCAGGAAAATGAGTATGTTTTCCTGGCACTATATTGGTCCTTTAACAGGCTGATGGAGGTAAGTACAACGTATTAACATATAACGAGGGAATATATACTAAATAATGAAGGATAGGCATAGACTTATTAATTGGTAAACCAACAGGCTTTATTATTATTGCCTTAAATGTATTACCCATAAATATTGCTAACACAATATTGGTCTACATGACTGAAGACGGACTAATGTTTTAATGAAACAAAGAATGTGGCGGCAGATAAGAACCATTTGGCCCATCTAGTCTGCCCAATAAAACATGGTTTTACTATGCTGGTTCACCCTATGTAGGGTTTGCTATACAACTCTAGGTATGGCTACAGTCTATGAAAATCCATTCACTCTACTCACTATTTTTTCATTTCACACTATGCTCTTTCTGATAAGCTTTAGTTGGTGTATTCAATGCATTTTCAAATCAGGGAATTGATGATTTCTGGTCTCACTGTAAGAATATCATTGTTTTGATATTTCAATTCAATGTCCATTCACCCAATGCATTTTTTGCTACAGGAAAGCTGCTTCACTCTTTGCATTGTTTCCCTATTTGAATGTCTTCACTCTATGAATTATTTTGCTGTATGAATATCTATTCTTTCTTTCCATCGTTTGCCTGTATGCATGTTGGTTCGCTTTGTCCATTGTTTCTGTACATTGGATGTCAGGAGATGACATAACACATTGTTCAGTTATATGAACACTGGATCAACTTGGATTACTCTGGATTACGCATTGTTTAAGAATATGAACCCCAGTTTTCTATTCTATCAATGCTATGTATGGATGTATCAATTTATCTTATACATATATTAGTATATGATTGTCATTCTGTGTTTTCCATATTTGATCCTCGGCTCTATTCCCATAGATTTGCCATGTAGATATCAGCTTGTTGTGTGAATATTGGTTTACGTTATACATCATGCACACTACATCAGTATGTGATCTTCATTATGTATCTGATAAAACATTCAGCGCTTACATTTGATCATATTTGCTGTAGTCTCCTCTGCTATCTGGTTACCCACTGATAAAGGACTTTGAGCTACTTCTATCAGTGAGGAACTGATTCAATTGATTCACTCATCTGACCTTCCCCTGGCCCACCGGCTCATTCATGTGGCATGGATCTTCAAATACATCATGCATTGTGTGGGCTATTTTTAAGATGCCCTTAGCTGCCCTATGATTATGCTTTAGCTTTTTGTGCCAATATTTGGCTTTTCTGGTGAGGCTAACGCCCATCCTTGTTCCCACAGGTATTCACCACATGGCCTAATTTATAAGTATGCCTAGCAATGCTGCCTTCATATGTCTGTCTGGAACCTTGGAAATGTCACTGAGAGGCCAACACTCACCACAACAGTTGGTGGCTGCTTGGCATCTAGCAGGGACTCACAAGTCAGTAATTTAAGCTGAATTGCTTTGCCACTTGGCATAGGTTAGGTGTGTTTCTGTCTGACCTAATACACACAATGTGTGGGCAACTATGTTAAACTATTAGATGAGTTTTGAAACCACAGGCATCTGAGGCCATACTATTTACATGGTAACTTAAAAACAGAAGGAGAAATATAAAGTAATTTTCACTCATTATAAGAGTTATATTCCTGTTTCAGATGGCTAGTGTTATAATTTACCAATACTCTGTGTAACGTCAGATAGTATGAATATTTTTTAATTTGTCCTTTTTCACCTAATACATCTCAGCATTCCTTCATAATGAACCTTTTCCAGAGCAGCTCTCCTTAAAACTTCATTTAAACCTGTGACATGGTAATCTGTATCAATTGTACCATAACTATCACAACTACAACAATTGAGCCCTCTCCTGAGACTGACTTCAGGTCCACCTCTCCTAACAACCCAACTAAAAAAAGATCTAGCCCCTTAAATAAAAGGAATTTGATGTACCCCTAACCATAACTTACTAATAATAACCAAGGTCGTATTGGAGGAACTGATTCACTGTCTCACCTGTGCTTCAAAGTTCAGGTTAAAACAATAAGGAATTCCTAACAAAACATGTTTTAACTCACATTATTGTTCACCTCCACAGGTGGGAACTCTTTTCCGTCAGTTTCTTTAATCAGTGTGGAGGGCTGTTGATGCCTCCCATATCTCCCTTTAACTAACCGTTCCACTCTATTTTAATACTCTATTTATTTACTCAAATAGTAATTAATAGTCCAAACACTATCACTCTCTAGAGAACGAGCAAGAGATAAGGAGAAACTAATGAGCATTATTGCTGGCAGAGATGTCAAACACTTTTTCTTCCTGAAGTGCTTCTGTTGTTGAGTTTGAGACCTGTGTGTATGTATCCGTATCGCTCATAGAGGGTATCCCTGGGTTTGAAAATATTTACAGTAGGCAATAAGTATCCCGCCAACTGTTGTATGACTCCAACTCCCATGATGGTTTGCCATTCTACAGCATACTTCTCAACATTGGGTGGAATGAATTCAGAACTGGCAATACCCCAAATAGGTGAACCTGCCAGGTGTGGGGCAGGGACACTCAAACAAGGGGCATGTCATCCTGGCCGGATACACACGTGTGGAAGGGTAGTATATCATTTACTTATCATTAACGTATCATTAAATGTCGACCAAGTGATCTTTGGACATCATGCGTTTATGAATGCTTAGGTGTCTCTTACCAGGAGTCCTCAGATTGCAGCCACTCCCAGTGTCCCTCTTGTACCTTAATATATTGGTACGTTGTGCTGCTGCCTATTCTCCTTCTCAAGTTCTCATTGTACTTTTAGTGGGTAGGTCACTGTCCGTGGATCTTTTATGCAGGACGTATATTTCCTGTTTCGTTTGGTCCACACATTAATAGTTGATTTTTTAATTTTTTTTACCAGTACCTCTTACTGGGTACCACGGCACTTATTAGGTCCTCTTCTATACAGTACCTACATCCCTGGACCCCCTTCTACTTACTGTCCTCCACCTTTCTATATCTGTTCTTGCTTCTCTCTTGTCACCTCCGCACACCACTCATACTTCTCTAACAATGTAATTACTCTGAGCTAGCAGCTCCCACAGACAGTCCTATTTACACGCAGACTTGCATTTAATGAAATAAAATATAAATATGTGTCCCTAGTAATAACGCATGTCACTGAATATGCATGTAACACGTCCAGTCTCGCAGCAAGCCTCCATCTTTCAGCAATCACTGACTTTCTCTAGCCATTTTCTCCTCTCCTGTCGCTGTCACTCTATCCAATTGATACTAGTCCTTTGCATTCTGTTCAACACACACATTAATATCACCATGCAAAGGGTCACATGAAGCCATGAGTGTTTTTCAGTTGTGTTTATTAGCTCACATAGTAATTAATAGCCCAAATTGCATCATAGGCAGTGGAGAGATAGGGAGTGAATGAGCAGTGCTGCTGGATATCCTGAACAGCAGAGATGTCAAACACTGTTTTGCTTCCTGAAGTCTTGCTCTGTAATGGGAGGCAGCGTCTGGAAGGAAATGGTAATTGACAGTTTTGCTTCCCAAGAGGATTTGCTCCATTGGCTTAACTGCGCTGCAGTCTGTGGTGGACAAGTAGACTCCATCCATGCTTACCTAAATCCTTAAAAAGACAGTAACACAGAAAGAAAAGCACAACATGTAGAATGCATATTACGCAGACAATAAACTTGATTTCTTTCTATTTTTTTTATATACCCTGGAATTGTGCTAGAGATTTGACATTAGTAAGAGCTGGGATGCTCGGCTTAAAAATATCTGTCCATCTATATTTAAACCTCCTGTGAAAAACGTAATGGCCAAAACACAGCTGGGCTCACAATTACACTCACAATTTAGCATTTTTCAGGCATTTTAAAGCATGCTCTATTCATAATTTTGGAGTAAAAAAAAATAAAAATACAGTAGGCAGATGAGAAAACAAACCATAATAGTTATTAAGAGGTGTACAATAAAGCAAGAGCATACTCGAAATATTCCAAACAGTACTGGGACATTCTTCATGTAATTTCTTCATGTAAATACCTATTCAGATTGTATTCATTCACAGGTAGACAAAGAGAAGAGTTCTACGCAGAATATTAGAAGCATGAGAAGGTTAGCCTTGACATATCCAAACTCTGACAAAAGTGGTATCGTTACTGAATGGTTGTTACAATGTAATCTGACAAAATGGCATTCATTTTATTCCCAATTGTATTGACTTTAGTTCCTATCTATCCATCCTACAAAATACAGATTGTTTTATTCTGTGAACTAATAATTGGTGAGTAAGGATCAGCGAAGTCAAATGAAATGCTCCAGATGAGATTTAAATGCCCACTATCTTTAAAAACCCAGATATAGTTTGCATGTCGGTGGCCCTGATGGTCAGGTGGTGTGAAATTTGCAGAGCAGCTGGCCTGTCAGTGTTTATCGTGACCATTCTTCCCCATTAATTGAACACGCCAAGCACCATAACCACTATAACTCGCTTTACTAACAGCATGGCTTCTCACATGGGATCTGTTAGGTACTACTCCTGGCCTACACTCAGCCTCCTGGAGAGCTGGATGGAGCTGTGAGGAGCTTCTGTATGCTCTCCTGAGCCAAGTCCTGCAATGCAGGGCTCAGATTATTGGCTGAGAGTATTATGAGATTGCCCTTAGCCAGTGACTGCCAGGCTTAGCTCAGAGCTGAGAGCTTCTGGCTGCAGTGGAGGTAGGGAGCAGCACTCAGCAGGCACCAGATAAGAAATCAAACTACAGCTCCCTTAAGTGGTTATGGTGCATGGAGTGTTCTCTAAAGGGGATGTTTATAATATCACTTTATACCTGAAAGTATAGAATTTCCAGAATCCTTAAAAGAGACATCTGAGGGGACTGATATTTATTTTATTTTAAGTATAGATAGCCTTGAGGAGGCACATTATATATATTATCAGTTACCACCTGTTTTGGCAGACAGACAGTAGACTGAAAAACAATTTAGTGAATAGTTAATTCAAAGTGAATTCCAAGTTTTAGGCCAAAGTAACCAAACTTAATGCATAGATGACTTAGAGAATATTTCCAAATCAGCTATTTTGGTCTTAAATTAGAAATGCATGCACTTTAAATTCAATAGGAATTCTCACTTTAGTGGTACATGTGCATGAAAGTAAATACTCATAAATACTTAACGCTTATTGAACGTAGGCATTTGTTTATTAGAAGAGAAGAATGGTACTCTAGGTTACATAATATTTAGGCATGAAGAAATATGGAATATAAATATAAAATGAGACACATGACTGGGCAGTTAACGTAACTGGTTACACATTATATAGGAAGGATAGAAAAATCAGTAAACGTGATGGGGTATGTTTGTATGTCAACCATGAATTGAAGCCAAATGTTAAGCAAGTGGAATGTGACGAGAAAAATGTGAAAGCTTTATGGGTAGATATCTGCTTGGGGCAAAAAAATGGAAATCAGTCAGGGCCGGACTGGATCCTCTCCGGTCTCCATCATCAGCCGGCGGCCGCAATACATTGATTATGGGCCGGTGAGGGAGATCTGTGATCTCCCCACTGGCCCGTCATGGAACACAGCGGGGCCGGTGCTCGGAGAGTGTCAGCCCTGCATGGACCGGCTGGGGAGATCTTGTAACCTCCCCTGCCGGCCTCGGCCCATGGCCACCGCGGCCCACCGGGCATTTGCCCGGTGTGTCCGATGGCCAGTCCAGGCCTGAAATCAGTTATTAGTTGGAATATGTTATAAACCACCTGTATCAATATTGATATTGATGAAGAAGAACAGCTGAAAATCGTACATCTGAAGATTAATTATTGAAGAATTTTTAAAAATTGGGATAGAGGGGCTCGGGAAAATTGGGTTTTTGAACCTATTAAATTGCACCTTCATGTCACAGTTAGTGAAAGCACCAACTACAAAAAATGCTTATCTGGATCTGATTATAATAAACAATGCTGATCTTTTGAAAAACATTCAAGTAGGGGAGTAGAAAATAGTGATCACAATATGGTGTATTTTGAAATAAACTCAAAAAAGCTAATTCACATGGGGTATATTAAAACATATACTTTTGAAAAGGCCAATTTCAGTAAGAATATGTCAGCTTCACAACGCATTGACTGGCATAAATTCTTTAGTACAAAAAAAACACTTTAAACAAATATTAGCAAAGTACACTTCTCAATATGTACCATTGGGTAATAAATGTAAAAGAAACAAATTGAAACTAAAATGACTTAGTGGGAAGGTAGAACAAGAAATGAAAAATAAGAAAATTGCATTTAAATCATATATATCATTGAAAATTCACTTCTTCAAGAAAGCATATCAATTAAACTGTTAGCAGGTTTTTATCCCCCATCCTCCATGACTCGTCTCCTGCAACTGTCAAAAATGACCTACTAAGCCCTCAATTAATACTTTTCTAACAACCTACCTCGTACCCCTACTTTTACTCTTTGTGTCACTATTCCCCACTCCCTCTAGAATGTAAGCTCATGGAGCAGGGCCCTCCCCCTCTCTGTTCCTGTACATCCAGTTGTCTGGTTACAATTACATGTATGTTAGTCCACCCATTGTACAGCTCTACAGAATTTGATGCTGCTATATAAATAATAAAATAATAATAAAAATAAAATAATAATATATCAGAGGCATCCTATATGAGATATAAGGAAGTCAATAATGAATGCAAAAAGGTGATTAGATGGACTGAACTAGATAATGAGAAAGTGACAGCCAGAGAGAGCAAAACTAGCACCAACATTTTTTTTAAGTACGTAGATTTAAAAATACATAAAATTAAAGTGTAGGCAGACTGAAATCAGTGTGTTTTATTTAATGAAGACCAGGAAAAAAGCAGAAATTTTAAATAACAATGTTTCCTCAGTATATTTTGAGGAAAAATCTATGGTAAGACATATGCAAATGATAGCTGCAAAAATTTTGCAGACAACTTGTGATTTGCTGATTCAAAACAAGGTGCTGCAGCAAGTAAAGAAAGTTAATGAAACAAAGCCCCAGGGCCTGACAGTATTCTCCCACAAGTACTTAAGGAGCTAAGTGTGGAAATAAGCGAACCACTGTTTTTAATCTTTCAGAATTCTTTTCTTTCAGGAATTGTACCAGAGGATTGGAGGCAGGCAGTATTATTCAAAATCTTTGCCTGGAAATTATAGACCTGTGAGCTTAACTTGTGTGGCTGGTAAAGTATTTGATGAGCTATTAAGGGATATTTTTCAGGAATTCATTGAGAACATAAGCAAAAAATCTGCATGTTTTTATGAAACATAGGTCATGTCAAACTAACTTAATTGTACTCTACGAAGAAGTAAGTAGAAGTACAGATCAGGGTGTTGTAGTGGATGTGATCTATTTGGATTTTGCCAAGGTCAATATAGCTCCACACAATAGAAATTGATCTAGATGAAAATTATTGTTCTCGGATAGAACATTGTCTTAACAATGAAGTACAGAGAGTTGTCATTAATGGTACATTTTCAAGCTGGGCAAAAGTGGTAAGTGGATTCTGTTCTGTGAATGTTTTTGTTCAACGGATTTTAAATGATCCTGAAAGAGGAATTTGCAGGTGACACAAAACTCTCAAAAGTAATAGAATGTGATTAGGATATTGCTTTGCTGCAGAGGGATTTAGATAGATTTGGAGACTGGGCACTCAAATGGCAGATGAAATTTAATGTAGAAAAATGCAAAGTTATACACTTTGAGGTAAAGAAGGTATAAGCAATTTACACCCTGAACGGTAGTGAATTAGGAATAGCAATTTAGACCCTAAATGGTAGTGAATTAGGAATAACAACATACGAGAAGGATTTAGGAAATGTTATAGATAACGAACTAGGCAACAATATGCAATGTCAATCGGCAGTTCCTTAACTACATATAAAGTCTTATGATAAATGTAAAATACTCTGGTTGTCTACTACGTAAAAAATGTGTCATCTCAAACATCTTAAATGTTGTTTAATACAAAACTGCCCCCAATAGTAATAGTTGTTAATAAAGTTACAAATTGTTATGTACATGATCCAATTTTCTGTAATTCTGCTAAAACAAGATAAATAAAGGGATGGGACATTTTGGTATCGGAGATGCCCCACAAACTCATTTTATAGTACTATGCAAAACAACCAGACAAAAAGTTTTGTTTATGTGCTCCACATATAGCATGAAATATTACCATAAACTCTAGCAGATACTTTTAAGTTCTTACTTGTATGATAAAAGCAAGTAAAGGTAATAGCTACCTCATTTTCAGAAGGAAATTAGTACATTAGTGAAAAGTCATAGGCAAGCCTAATAGAATGGTGCAAGGTATCCATGATTATATACATCAAGAGAGTATTGTAGAGGTTTGTTGAAGCCTTCCAGCAGAGGTTGTCGAGCTTAAAGGGACACCATAGTCACCAGAATAACTACAGCTTATTGCATTTGTTCTGGTAAGTAGAATCATTCCCTTTAGGCTTTTTGCTGTAAACACTGTCTTTTCAAAGAAAATGCAGTGTTTACGTTACAGCCTAGTGATAACTCCACTGGCCACTCCACAGTGTGCAGTACTGCCATTCAGTGTCTCCACCCTCTGTATGCAGACACTGAATTTTCTCAAAGAGATGCATTGATTCAATTCACCTCTATGAATAGATGCTGATTGGCCAGGGCTGTGTTTGACTTGTGCTGGCTCTGCCCTTGACCTGCCTCTTTGTCAGTCTCAGCCAATCCTATATGGAAGCATTGTGATTGGCTCAGACCGCCACTTCTGATGATGTCCTCAGACAGCAGGGAGTCAGGGGCAGAGCCAGCAGCTGCAGACTTAAATACAGGTAAGATATTACTACATTTAGGGAGGTAAGGGGGGCAAGGCAGGCTAGATTGTTGTTTTAACACGTTTGCGTTCCTGACCCTATAGTGTTCCTTTAATAAATAGATGAATTTAAGATTGCTTGGGATGGACATATTGCCTACCTTAGCAGTATCATAGAGGCTAAAGGTGTAATTCTTAGTTCACATGATCTTTTCTGTGTTGTCAAAATCTATATTTCTACATTTTTACACTGTACTGAAAATGCATGAAATATAGCTGTGAGTTCTAATTTCATCCAGAAATACAGTATATGTGAAATCTAAACTCTGCCAGTCATTGATGCTTTAAAAATAAGCTTTTCTTCCACACTTCACATCTGTAGCTAAACATGTGTAAACCTCATGGTGCAGTGACTCACATAATATATACATTCTGTCTTATAATAGGCTGCATGTGTGCGTCTGGATAATATCAAAATAAAATTACAGAGCACTAGGCCAGACACACAGACAACAGATGTGCTGCACATTAGATTTGTGTGTTTGGATAGACACACATTTGTACAGATATGGAAAGACAGACATACCTTAAAAAAAAATAAAAAAATCTTTACTTAAACTGACATCTGAGAATTTAAGTTTCTTGGAGAATGCAAGGAGTCACTCAATTCAGACATCATTTCTGGAAATAAGCAAACAAACGCAATGAAAGCTTCCTAAAAAACAAAACAAAAACAAAACAAGTAATAATAACATAAAGAAGAGGTTGTCACAAAAAGACACAAAGATTAAGAAAGGATTTTTTTTTAAAGGAGAAGAGGGAGAAGAGAGAATGAGGCACGTTACGCAAAAATTTGGTTCTTCCAAAGCACTTCCAAAATTTGTGTTAGCTTCTTTAATTGTACCCTTTACTACACGATTTAGGATGTGTGCAGAAGAGAGCACACCTCCAAAGGATACTGAATATGCACATAAATACCAATAACTACCAATAATAATAATAATATTGATAATCTATCATGTAAAAAGACACTCCCTTTACAGCTGGGCAATAAGGCAGGTGATTTTGTTAGCCTGCTCTTTTGAAATTCCCCATGCATATTATTTTTATTATTATTATTAATAGTATTGGCGTTTATATAGCGCCAACAAAGTCTGTAGCACTTTACAATATTATCAGAGGGGGAGATTTAATAATAAATGAGGCAATTACAAAAACTTACAGGTGTGTGACCAATATATATATTAGAGGGTCATTAGAGATATCTTTGCCTAAAGCTGAATGAAGCAAGGTGAATTGTTAGTGTAGGACCCACCTAAGAGGTTTGACTTGACAGTGGCAGGTGGGTTACATCTAAAGGCTATTGGAGTTACTAAATAATCTCCATGTATTAAAATATGCATAGGGATTTGGGCTAGTGCGCAGGTAACTTTTTTTTCTTTGGTTTTTACTGTATCTATTGGGCTGATGTATGCTATGGTCGTTGCTGCTGTCCAGGAGTAGTGGGAGTTCGAGCGCAGAACTTATTTTCGTGTATTTGTATGGACAGGAAGATGAGGGACCCAAAAGGTCTGCAAAGTTTGGGGACACAAAAGGTTTTTGGCCATTGGTAAAGTGAAGACCTAGTTAAGAAAGTAGTCTAATCAGAAATTCGGTGGATTTTTAATTTAAAATTTAGCCTTTTGGACTTAATATAGATTTTGGTATATGCCATTCTTGAGGGTAGAATTATTTAACTACTTTAAAATTATTTTCTTCTATAAGCCCTATTAGCAATTTCACTATTTCATTATTAGATTTGTACAGAGCCCTATTAAGAATTTTTAAAGAATCTTTTAGATTAAATTTTTTTTTAGAATTTTTAGTTGTCCCCTCTTCTATATATATTATAGATTTTCATGTATATGTACTATTAATCTGTCCCCTTTTTTCATATTGATTATATGTTTGTGTATATTGATTGTGCACCATGCATGTGTATTTAAATATTTATATTAGTGGAGTTCCCCATTATAATTGGGAATCCTTGTCACCGCTTTTTCTAATTGAGTCAACATTCAATTTACGTATTCATTTTTCATGTGCACTTTATAATATACCCACAATAATAAGTTGATAAGGATAAGCAGAAATATTTTAGCACTCCACTATTTTTAGAGTAGTTTGCTGTAGTGATTAGGTTGCCTAGTGTGCTGATGCTGTTCATCGTTTTAATGGAAACCCATTTAGAAGTGGTTTAATTTAAACCAAGGAACTTACTAGCATCTGGAACCCCCCACCCTGTTGCATTGATTATGCAGATTAAATATTTTATCAGCTCAACTAAATGTCCCATTGTAGGGATGCAGGACACATCAAAAGCCTTCAGGAGGTCAAAGTCCACTTCTTGCAAAGATTGGAAAACCCCTACGACACACATTGAATGCAGCTTGCATTGGCAGTAGTCTATAAATGCAAGTATTTGTCCAAAGCAGAACTGTTAGCCCACAGTGGAAAGAGCAGCATAAGGCAAGATCTAAAGAAAAAGAACAGGATTCAGCTCAATATCAGCTTGGAGCAGGGTTCTATCTGGAGAACAGTTCTTGGCGTTATGTCTCTGAGGTATCTGAAGCAAGATTTAACACCAACGCCTGCATACAATGCATTAACCTTGGATGTGGTATGGATTTCATTCCAATCAATGCATGGGTGCCACCTGCACAGGTTCATTCATGCACACTTTGCAAATGAAAGCTGCATTGAGTTCTGCTAAAAAAAAAGTCGAGCCTTGTAAAACAATTTCCTACAACAGGCAGAAAAATATGTGTAAGAAGCTCAATAAAGCCCATAATGAAGATCTGTAGAGAAAGGGCTGATCATCAAGTTCTGCTACAAAGAAATAAGAAATCTGAATGAAGTTGGTAATGTGTGTGTGGAGGTCCCAGGCACCAGCTTACCTTTAGGGGTTAAACTGTTAATGAAAGATTTAATCCCAAAGTCTTCAATCTGGCGCCCCCGTCAGCTCTCCCCCTTTCACTTCCTTTCATTCCGAGGCTTTAGGAAGCCTGGGACTGGTCAAAGTCCCTGAAAGTCCTGATTGGCTTCCTGATTGGATGATAGGAATGAAATGGAAGTGAAGGAGGGGGAGAGGGGGAGGGAGGATGACGATAAGGCACCTGATTGAAGACTTTAGGGTTAAACTATTTGTTTCGTTTTGTAATTTTGTTTTTTATGAAGTTGTTATGGTGCCCAGAGTTGTTATGGTGACAAATGGAAGTCTGATCACAATTGAGAAATGTGTGCAAGTTGTGTATATACTATATCTTCACATGTTGTTGCACAATTTAAAGGATTATTGAGACATGTGAAAGTGTTTTTTTTTTTCATGCTGTTTGGACTGTGTTTGTAATGTAAAATTTTAAATTATGTAAATGTATACAGTTTTTGTTTTTCATATTCAATATAAACAATATTTGGAAAATAGAAGGTTTTAGTCAGTATACACTGACTTTTCTCTTGTAATATTTCACAAAGGGTTTAAAATGTTAGTATTAAAGCAAAAATGTTAATTTTCTCACACATGGCAGATGTGACAAAATAGATAAATAGAAATAGTCAAATTGCTTATCAGTACTAGCAGTACAGCTTACTAAAAAGAAAGTCAACAGAATGTAAAAAGAATGTTTGCATTTGAGCATAATACATACACACACATATATAAATGCAGTTAAATCATATATTTCCAAAATAAATTTAAGACTGCTACTGCAATCTCTATCACTCTCTTGACTACAAATGTGTTGCTAAAAATGAAATGGTACAGTCCATTCACTCCTCCCCTTCCACGACTGCAGCAATTATATGACCGATTGAAACTTCCTTTACTGCTTGGAAACAGGGGGTGAGCTGACATTTTCATCACACTTGTTACCATTAATTCAATGGCCAGTGACTTCTGGCAGAGCAATTTTTCCATTATAAATGAGAGTCAACGAGGCTTTATGGATTAAATTCATTCTGCAAAGTACATGAAAGTAAAAATGTTTATACTCGATTCTAGGAGTGAAATGGATAAGTAATGCTGGACATGGTTTCTGGGACTAGGTTGGTATCAGAGAATTCTGCAGGTTTAATATTAGAACTTACAATCTTGTCTCTTCATTGCACCATTATTATACATAATATAATATTACATATCATATTATTTTATTGCATTCTCTAGGGCAACTGTCAGAGTCAGTTATTTAAAAAAAATCACTTCTGTAGTTTCAACTGTCATGCAATCCCTTAAAAATAATTAGACAAATCCTTTAAATATGCATTAAGAGAATAAATGCAGTACAGTTACTGTTAATGTGCAGATACATAATTGAGATGAATGCAAGTGATGTACTGATCTCGAATACTTAGAAATGTACGTCTCACTCGTTACATGTAAGCATCTCTAATCCCATCTGATCTGAGTTGTAATTCATTAACTCATCCAAGCACAGCTAAGTACTTTATTAATACATACAAAAATATTGCTAATCATTTTATAAACAAAACAAAAAAATATGAAAGGATAAATATGATAATAAATGGCAGCAAAACTATAACGCATCAGTTAATTAAGAAGACGCCTTTATTATTTACAGTAGATATTTAATGCATTGTTTTCAATGTACGTCAAACAGAAAACGGGTGAATATCATTATTTCACATATAAAGCACGCCAGAAAATGAAACACGATAATTTTCTTCAGTAATTTTAGAAGTGTGCCTTGCTTCAATGTACCTTCTTACATCAAATTATGAAATATATATATGTAATAACTCACAAGGCAGTGCTAGATATCTGAAGTTCTGACATCACAAGATCCAAGCGAAATTTATAATGCCATGCAGAAAACATCTGCATGGTATTCTTTTCTCTCTCTCGAAGGCAGTCACCTGGTGAGAATTTTTTAATTGTCAGTATGTCAAACTTAACAAAATAGAAAACTGTACCAATGTTGTTACTATCACCTACCATAAAGTAATTGTACAGTAAAATATCAGAGTGGTCACAGAGAAATCGTGCAACACAATCAAAGGTGTAGGGCCCAACTAGGGCCACAGTATTCCAGTTGTGCATCATAGAAATATATACAAAAAACTGACAGTTACATTGGCACTGATTGACTAAGCAATTATCCTGGCATTAAGTTCAATGCAACTCAAGATTTCAATTTACTGATTCCCAAAAGTTGCAGTAGATAGACACAGTTGAAGTATTCAGTCCCAAATTATATTGTTACAATGGCTCCTGTCAAGTGGTGGGATATATTAGGCAGCAAGTGAAAAGTCAGTTCTTAAATTTAATGTTTTGTAAGCAGGAAAAATGGTCAAGCGAAAAGATCTGAGTGACATTGACAAGGGCCAACTAGTGATGGCTGGACAACTGGGTCAGAGCATCTCCAAAACCTGCTAGTCTTGCAGAGTGTTCTCAGTATGCAGTGGTTAGTACCTACCACAAGTGGTGCGAGGACGTACAACCAGTGAACTAGCGTCAGGGTCATGGGCGCCCAAAGCTCATTGACGAACATGGGGATCGGAAGATAGCCCATCTGGTCTGATCATGCAGGAGAGCTACTGAAGCTCAAATTGCTGAAATACCTAATGCTGGCAATGATAGAAAGGTGTAAGAACACACAGTTCATTGCAACTTTTCTGCATATGAGGCTTTGGAGCAGCAGACCGGACAGAGTGCCCATGATGACCCCTGTCCACCGCCTAAAGTGTCTTCATTGAGAACTTGAGCATGAGAACTAGACCATGGAGCAAAAATATATAAGAAGGTTGCCTGGACTGATGAATCACATTTTCTTTTAGATCAGGTAGATGGCTGGGTGTGTGTGTCATTTACCAGGGATAAAGATGGCAGTAAGGAAGCACTATGGGAACAAGTCAGGCAAGCAGATGCAGTGTTATGCACTTGGCAATATTTTGCTGAGAAACCTTGGGTCCTGGCATTCATGTGGATGTTACTGTGATGCTACACATACCACCCACCTAAAGATTTTTACAGACCATGTACGTCTCTTCAAGACAATGGTTTCCCTGAATGCAGTGGCCTCTTTCAACAACATAATGCACCCTGCCACACTGCAAAAATTGTTCAGGAATAGTTTGAGGAACATGACAAAGAGTTCAAGGTGTTCCTTGGCCTCCAAATTCCCCAGATTTCAATCCGATTGAGCATCTGTGGGATGTGCTGGAACAACAGCAGACTTGATGACCGACAGAGAGTTACATGGTAACACACATATTAAATCAGCAAAATCTAAGAACAGAAAAATGAAAATGTGATAGTTTTTGTTGGAGATTTTGAAACTTAAGTTTGACTCAGAATTTGTTTTTTTTTCAGAGATGACTTTTATTTGTGATGTTAGGACCACCATGGGATCCAGTATTGCTCCCACAAATGCCAACCTGTTTGTCACCATAATAGAAGACAATTTGTTTAACAAATATTTTTTTTACTTTGTGGTAAATATAGATAATATGTTGGCATTGATAATGAGTTGGTATGAGAGGCTAAGATGAGTTGAAGCTTTTTCTCAAAGTTAGTATGTCTACAATTTGCAAATTGATGTTTAATGCACTATAGTTAACTGTTTTGTTAATGAACCAAATTTAAAGATAACTGGTACATGAAATCTGGGACGCCAATAATAATAGAGCTTAGAGGAAAACAGTTAGGGATTTAAAGAGAAAATAGTACAAAAGGTATTATGACAATAATTAGGATAAGATTTACTTAGGAAAAGAGTATGAAAAAGGGTTGATAGAAAGAGCAGATAAGGAAATAGGATAATGTTCTTTGTCAATAGCTAACGTGTCTCTCAGACAAATGTTTAACCATTCTCAGACTCTAATGAGAATACCTTATATAGTTTTAAGTACTCTAAGCACCGTAACCATAACCACCACAGCTCATACAGTTATGGTGTCAGGAGCCTATGGGTGCTGTCCCCACCATTTTAGAGAGGTTTGACAAAATGTGTTCTCCCCAGCACCCCTAGTCCACATCAGCAATTGAAACAATGGGGTGGACCGGACCAGTTGGGTACCTGATTCACATGGTGGCAGCCATGTTTATGCAGCCGAGCAGCATGAGGCCATCCCTATCTGCCAATTAGATACTAGATGCTACCTGATAAGGTGAGTGAGTTGAGTGCAGTTGGGTGAGATGTGTGAGTCAGAAGATACACAACAGGGGGTTAAGGAGCTGAATTACATGTGGATGTTATTGAGACTAACCAAATTGGGCCCTGGGCCTCCTCTACTGGAATATAATATATGGTAGGTGTCAGAGTGTGAGATTCCTGCTCTAGGATGAGCTGTATTGGATATGGTGCTTAGACTGTTGCTTTAAGAAAGAATAAAAACAGCAGTACTAATTGCTATTATGTTTCCAATTAAAACAGAGAATTAGTTGCCAAACACATTATCCATAAGCAACAGTAATTAGTGAATTAGAGTAACACTAACAATTGACAATTTATTTTACTATTTGATTAATTATTTAAAGAATCTCATTTTTAAAAAAAATCTTTAGATTTCTGTTATTGGGAACGTTTAATGCTTACATTTCGCTCTTCAAAATATGCAGACATTTATTTTCAATTACACATTCATGCAGCTGTTGGTTAAATTAAATATGAGTTCTTACAGTGACATTTGCATTGCTAAATTCTCTGTGGCCCGCACAACAGCCACATATGCCAGCCGTATGGTAGCTCATTGACAAGAGAAATCCACTGATTATGATACATTACAAATATATCTCTCCCATTTATTCATTATCTAACCATTATGGAACATTTCATAAGAGATAGTAAAGTGTGCACTTACTTCCTGAATGCTATAGGCACAGCTCAGTGCCATTGTGAAGACTGAGAGTTATTGCCCAGTAACTGTTTAGTTACCATCACAACTAAGAATGGAACAGGAAAGATTGTGTGAAATAAGCCTGGACCTTACTAATATCCTGAACAACTCAGTATTTGGCATCTGTCCACTAAGGGGT